CCTACCCCGTAAAACAAATCTAACCACTAAAGAAACTTCAAAGCACAAACAAAATATAAAAAATGAAAACAAACTTATTCCCCGCTGGAATCGGAGAGGCGAAATGACGCCAGTTGGTGAAAACCTTCGGGAAGCCAATTGGCCGATGTGTCTTCTCTCTCTCGATGAAAGCGAAAGTAAACGTGGGGACATGGAATGTCCGTACGATGTTTGAACCCAGCAAGGCAGCCCAGATTGCAAAGGAGATGAGAAGGTATAACATCGAAGTGCTTGGGATTTGCGAAAGCAGATGGAAAGGGAGTGGACTCTCCAAACTGTCAACTGGAGAATCAATAATCTACTCCGATATTGTCACCCAGACGACACGACAACCACGAGCACAATGAGTTATGGAGTGGCTATCATGATGTCCCCAACAGCATCGCAGGCTCTCATGCAGTGGGAACCAATCTCCTCCAGCATCAGGATCATGACAGCAAGATTCAACTCAAAAGGAAGAAGGAAGGTCACAATCATACAATGCTATGCACCGATGAATGATGCAGAGCAAGAGAAAAAGGAGGAATTCTACAAACAACTTCAATCAACACTGGACAAGACGTCAGTTGGCGATATCAAAATTCTAATGGGTGGTGTGACATGAATGCCAAACTGGGAGGGGACAACACAGGAAGAGGACTAACCATGGGTCGAGAAGCGCTCGGTGAGGTGATGAACGAGAATGGAGAATTGTTTGCAGAATTCTGTGCATTCAACGATTTGGTGATTGGAGGCAGTGTGTTCAGGCACAAGGATATCCACAAAGCGACATGGATTTCACCAGACACCAGGACACACTAAAAATCAAATCGACTTTATCTCAATCTCAAGAAAATGGAGACGCAGTCTACTTAACACAAGGTCAAGAAGAGGAGCAGATGTAGGCTCAGACCACTATCTAGTGCAAGGAACCTTCCAAATCAAGTTAAAAGCCTTCAAGGAAGCTGGTGATAGACCTCAACTCAAGTACAACACTCGGAAACTGAAGGATGAAACTACAAAGGAGATCTTCAAGGCAGCCATCAAGACAAAATGGGAGACATCGAGCAACATCCATGAAGAAACCTGTGTGGAAGAACACTGGAAGTCTTTGAAAGCTATGTGGAAAGAAACCTGCACAGCCGTATTAGGAAGGAAGAAGAAAGAAGACAAGGAATGGATCTCGACGGATACCTGGAAGCTGATAGACGAGGGAGAGGAGTATGGTGAGGCAGAAGATAAACCAGTGCAAGGATGCTCAACGACAAGAGGAACTGAGCACAATGTATAAAACACTGGACAAAGAAGTGAAGAAGAGTGCACGCAAAGACAAAAGACACTTCTACAAAACACTGGCAAGTGAAGCAGAACAGGCTGCCGGCTGATAAGAGAGACCTGACAACATTGTATCAAATAACCAGGTTACCATCTGGGAAGAGATCAACGCAGATGAAACCAATAAAAGATGATGAAGGAAATTTAATTACAAAAGAAGAGAAACAAAGGAAACAATGGGCCGACCACTTCAAGAAGCTCTTGAATCGACCAGCATCTGCACTTCGTCCAGAAATACCACCTGCAGCCGCTGAATTACAAGTGAACATAAATCCTCCAACAAAAATGGAAGTCCTGAACGCCATAAAACTACTGAAATGCAGGAAAGCAGCAGGACCAGACGGGATACCGCCAGAAGCACTGAGAGCAGACGCAGAGACAACAGCAGCGGACATGCTCACACCACTATTGCAGAAGGTGTGGAAGGAAGAGAAGGTACCTGGACCTGGAGAATGGAAGAAGGGTTACCTTGTCAAACTGCCGAAGAAAGGAGACCTCAGTGCTTGCAGGAACTGGCGAGGAATCACTCTCCTGTCCACCCAAGTAAAATATTAAGCCGCATCATCCTGGAGAGGCTTAAAGATGCACTGGATTCAAAACTACGACCGGAACAGGCAGGCTTCAGGAAGTACAAATCATGTGTGGACCAAATTGCAACGCTTCGCATCATCATAGAACAAAGTATACAATGGCAGTCAACTCAACTCAACTTCATCGACTTTGGGAAGGCTTTTGACAGCATCGACCGAGAAGTAATTTGGAAACTGCTTCACTACTACGGAGTACCGCAAACCTTTATCCGCCTCATTCAACAACTATATGAAGACACCACATGCCAAGTAATTCACAATGGGAAGCTCAGCTCAGTGATGCTTTTGAAGTGAAGACAGGAGTGAAACAAGGTTGCCTACTATCCCCCATGATATTCCTTATTGTGGTGAACTGGATCATGCAGCAAACAGTAGGTAGCGAGAAGAGGGGGATACACTGGACGACGGAAAAGAACCTAGAAGACTTGGATTTCGCCGATGACTTGTGCCTAATGTCACATAAACTTGAAGATCTGCAGGCAAAAACTAACAAGTTGACAGAAGAGGCAGGGCAGGGCAGCGAAGACGGGACTTCAGGTGAATATAGAGAAGACAGAGGTGATGAAGATACCGCATCACCAACAACAACAACAAACTCTAATCACCATCAACGGGAGAAACTTAAAGGAAGTAACCTCCTTCACCTATCTAGGAAGCACTGTTTCAACTACAGGCGGGACGGACGAGGATGTCAAAGTCAGCCAGGATCGGAAAAGCAAGACAGGCCTTCGTTCATTAGCCTGAAACCAGTGTGGAGATCTTCTGCACTCAGCATGTGGAACAAGATACGGATTTTCAACACCAACGTCAAGTCAGTGCTCTTGTATGGTTCAGAGACTTGGCGCGTTACGAGAGGGATTTCCAATAAACTACAGACATTCATCAACAACTACCTACACTGGCTGGCTACTGAAGATCAGATGGCCAGAAAGAATAAGCAACAAGGAGCTCTGGAAACGAACCAACCAACAACCTATCACGCAACAAATATGCAGGAAGAAGTGGAGATGGATTGGCCATACACTGAGAAGGCCGACTGGGGTCATCACGCGTCAGGCCAGTCGCTCGAGTGGAATCCCCATGGGAAGCGATGAGTTGGACGTCCGAGGGTGACATGGAGGAGGTCGTGCGAGGAGGAAATGAGAGCTTGTGGGCTGTCGTGGAGCCAGGTTCAAAAGATTTCAGAGAACAGAGTCCACTGGAGACGTGCTACTGAAGCCCTATGTTCCATTAGGAACCCAAGGGACTAATAATATATATATATATATATATATATATATATATTTGATAACAGATATCTTTATAGCATTGCTCGCGTTTGGTGGAATCACCAAGTGAGCAATACTAAGGTCAGGTGAAAGGAACTAGGAAACATAGGCAAGTTAGTTGGTATGGTTGTGAACCTTCATTGGCTGAGGAGGCTTGGCATGTGTTGCGCATGCCAAGCCACTACCTACCTTGATTTTCTATACTGGTTGGGAGTTGGATTAGATTGAAAGGGGATTTAGGGTGGCGAGACCAAGATGTGACATCATTTTATGAAGTCTCCTAATGTTGGTCTGGGTCGTGTGGTGAGATGTATATTACTTGGTTGGAGTTTCCGAGACGAAAAGAACCAGTGATTGAGAAGTGACTCTCGGTGACATGGATGAAAATCGGTGACAATGGCGCAGATGTATTCATTCCTTGACATCTTCTAAAGCCTGAATATTCGCACTAACCTTTTCATTTTCATTATATTTGACCTTTAATTTTCATACATAAATTGACTTGACAAGTAAATGTGTGATCAGATTGCGCAAATGCATCACATTTTTCAGATAATCTTCGTCTTCTAATCGTGTTATCGAAATTTATTAAAGGGACTAATTGTTCCAAATATCTTCAGATTGTTTATTCTCTCACACTAGTTTGTGTACTTGAATTTCACTCCTTTTCTATCCACCTGTTCTTTGTGTACTACTGTGAAGTGTGTCAACTTGAACTGATGCAGTTATGCGTGTGAGGTTATACATTGATTTTGTCGGTCAGTTAGTCATAGATGAGAACGGATCATGTAAATGGACAGTTGCTTGTATTGTGAATAAGAAAATCTCATTGATCTGCTTTTCTGAATTACACCATCTAGTTTAATCGAGCCTTTCACTCTCACACAAAAAATGTTAGAAGCAGGCAAAGATAGTTGAATTTAGTAAAAAAAAGTTAGAATGATAATGGTAACGTGTCAATCAGTACCTAAATAGTACCGGACTTTAGTGAATAACGATGGATGTTACCTCAAACGGACATTACTGGAACGCAGATGACAATGAAGGCTTTTAGCCTTGTTCGTACCCGTGAACATGAAGTTCATGGTACTAACTCACACTTTCTCATGTGTTCATTCAATATAGCCATGCAATATCCAAAAAATGTAACGAAGATAATGACAAATAAAATTCTTGATCACTAAATAGAGGTCAATCTCTTGAAATCTACTCGCAGAATGAAGAAATACATCATTACGATTTGCTTTTTCTTCTCCGCATTGTAGTTCAAACATTTATCCTGACAAGTGAGTGTGGTTCAAGTGGATCAGATGTGTAGACAATAGTTCTTCGTAGAATATTTCAGTGAATACTGTAGGTCAATCATGGATCTCATTTTGAAAAAATGTACTACACTGATAGTAAACTTGTCCAATCACTAATTAGAGTTGAAGACTAGAGACTATTAAATTTCAACTTAGTGTATGGATGATAAAGATCTTACACAAACATCTGAAGCTCTTGAGCATAAATCCGACTGGATAGTCAACATAGGGAAAGTTAGCTATCTAATGATCTCTAGTGATTAATAGTTCTTGCGTTGATGTCAAACTGTGTTTTCATATTGAACAAAACAGTTGCATGATTCTGTTCAACCTTCTTCTTTGAACAGATACTGACAAAAAGGTCAAAACTAGATTGAGTAGCATGTGAAAATGATTGCTGAGATACTGACATCAAAAAGAAAAATGTTTTATGACCATAAATGATTTTAATTAGTTTTTTTAAAGTATATAAAAATACTACTTACAGTTAACGAAGATATCAGATGAGCAACTTCTCTATTCAATTGTTCAATAACATCAGAATGCACTTGTAAATCAGTCAGTAAATCATCAGATTGTTTCAAAACTTCTTTGAATAAACCAGGATTCTGTACTGACACAATATTTTCACTAGATGACTTTATTCCCAAGGATTTAGTCATTTCACCGAATGATCGCATACGAGAAGCGAATTCACCTAACCACAAACTAAGCTGACTGGATAGTTTCTGATAATTGGAGAAACAAACCAATGATTCACCGAATGCTTTAAGTCTATGTAAGACAAAGTATAGATTGGAAGAAAGGTTGGCCTAATGTAAACGATACAGAAGTTTACTTTTGAATAACTTTCAAAATGCAGGATTTTATAAATTTGTGTACAAGTAGACGAGTAAATACTAAGCAATACACTGGTCAGCTATTTCTCAATTGAGAATGAGAATTCGACGGAATATAAAGAGTGCAGTGTAATGACTTGTTAAACATTCAAATGTAACTAGCAGAATAAAACAGATATCCACTTCATGACAACTGGAACGCTTATGACAGAGAAACGCATGTTTGAATAAAAGATAAATAATTGTGTACATCATAGGATTGATTACACATGACTACCTGATGGTCACACAAAAATATATATAGCGCCAAAACCATTCGTTATCGCATTGCTAAGTGGTTAATTTTTCGACATCATTAGTTAGTGACACCGGTTAGAATCACCGATGGAATGAAAACCAGTTTCCACACTGTTTCAGGTATGCCCTGCTGATGAGTGCCACCAAGGTCCAGGGCTTCTTGCCAACGGATTGCCACCATTTAACAGTTTTACCTCCATGTATGAACCAGTAAAACTAGTGACAATAATGAGAATCATCTGATAATTGTATTTTAATGTTCAAAAGGTGACACTAGACAATGCAGAAACACAGTATTTCACTAGATGTGAATGTCAGAGGTGTTTGAGGTATTCAGTGAGAAAAAGTAGACTGACAGTAGACCTATCCAAACGCTCCATTCAATCGATTACATAAACCATATTTACATTGCAAGATAAAAAGGTAATTGACAAGACGGCCTAGATTTATTTTGTGGATACTAGAGCACATAACATAGGGGAACATGAAGTGTGAAAGAAACGCCAGTTGGGTTAATTACTCAAAGAAGTGTTCTCACAGAGCTATTCAAAATGTGGATTCTACTGACTCACCAACATTTGTTTTAAAACAAGCAAAGTTAGCAGATCTACCTTCATCTAATATTCATTCACTAAAACACTTGGCCTATTTCTGTCGTAGGTGCAGAGTGCGGCTTTAAGGATGAACATAAGTGTCAGATTAGCAGGTTAATGAAGGGAACTAAAGTAATAATGATGAGCTGATTACCATGTCCTAGAAACAAAATATCAGTTTGCGCAAAAAATGCACACATTTCCCTTCAGTTCGTTTTACTCAACGATAAACTATCTTTCTTCACTCCCTATTTTATTGATTTCTTTACAATTTACCAATCTTATTTTCTTAACATTCACGTCGCCTTCACTTTGTTGTGTCTTTCATTCAGAGGAACTGAAGAGTATTATACCAATTACAATGTACAACATGAGAAAATATTCCAAGAACTTTACTCTTCTCAGAACGATAGTATATTCCCTTACACTTGCATTAGTGTTGACCTTAAGATATTTTTAATTCCATTGCATCAAAGGACACTGGAGCTTATCACTTGTACTACCATACTTCTGTAACACGTAAGTGTATATATATACACTTCTAATAAACTGACAATCCTCATAGCTAAATACAATACAATCTTCGTTGACAATTAGCCAAACAGTTTGCTCACACAACTTTCTTCATTACAGGTTCCCACAAAGTGACAGCGTATTCAAATGATTTCCACTACCATCGAGTTAATCATCAAAGAAAACAGTATCAGTTTATTGCTATTTATTGATATACCTGTTATTCTCCGTTGTTTTGTTGGATCGAATTGTTCGACCTCTATTGGCATAGGAGCCCATATGCAGAAAGAGGTCGAACAATTCAATCCAGTAAAATAACAGGATTACAAATATGTCGATAAATAGAATTATCTAATACCGGTTGTACGAGAAGCGGCTATCGTTCCTCCATGGCATAATGGATAACACGTCAGCGTTTGAAGCGATGGGTGCTAGGTTCGTGTCTCAGTGGAAACATCACTGGGGTGCAGGCACATCCAGCTGACGAGCCCCAAATAGGACGAAACGCGCGTCCTGGATTCTTCTGCTAGCCACAACCAACCATAGTATCAGTTTATGTCTACATTCAACGATAGCTGTGTTCTAATTTTAGTCTGATCAATAATCCAAAATAGTTGAATGAGATAGCAATAGTTCATTTAACCGTCAGTTAAAATTAACTTAATCTTCTCAATCTTATGCATACAAAAAATATCGATACAGAACCTAGCACAGGAGTGAATCGATTCAATTTGCCACACTTCACAGCAACATGAAAAGAAAAGATTGATATCAAAGTGAGGAAAAACGCATAGCGGGAAAAGGAATTTGAAAATAAAGGTGAGCGACAATGTTAACACTTTGGAAGACGTCAAAAAGTGAAAACATCTGTACAATTAAGGAAGATTTTCAGAAATATCACCAAGTCTGAAGACACTGACCTCTGTCATATCAAGGACCCCAATCAGGCAGTCCACACCTAACTTTCTATATGGCTCAAACCAACAGTCAGAGACTTCACGGACTGATGCCTCGTCTTGATTAAGGCATCCCGAGCCTTCTTCCATCCCAATCCTACTTCAGATAACATGGCACGAAGGGGTAGGCTGCGACTCAGTGTGCACAATATATATCGAGTTCACCTCAGTCGGTGAAGGTCCATCGACTGGTTTGCTTTCCTTGCCTACTACACTCAGCCTAATCTCGACATTACTCACCCAGTGATTCCACCATACGTCAGCAATGGTGTGCAGACCCCACATGTGATCAAAAGTCTTTGGCCTTTTCACACTTACTTTCAGTGGTCATGTTTTACAGCCTTACAATAAGGATAGAGAAGACTGCAGCCCAGTATACTCGTTCTCTAATGACCTGTTGATCAACCTCTTTTGGCATATGGGTTCCTATGGGGTTGCTTCGATACTAACTGATGTATCACTATGACACAGTTTGCTTGATGAAAGCAATCGAATCCAGTACCCACCGATAGTAATAATAACTCATAAAAAGGGTATGAGGTGGCTCTTATGCCCCACTAGCTTAGTGGATAACACTCCTGAGCTTGAAGCGATGGGTGATCGGTTCGAGTCCCAGTGGGAATGTCATCACCCACTGGGTTGGAGATACATCCAGGCCATGGCTATCAAATAGGATGAGACGCAGGTCCCAGATTCCACTGTTAACCACGCACCACCAAGAGAAATTAGGATAAAAACATTTGGTCTGTTAAAAGCTTTAAAGAGCAGTAACTTCTGGGGATGGTTATTTTAAATGCATACTTCTAACCTGACCTATTCTATTGACGCTTCAGTTACATGAAGTGTTAGAGTCTTGAGTCCATGTAATGTCATGAATGACTATAAATCATATTTGTTTCATCATGATACTTCTCTACCGCAAGAAATAACCGAGATTTACTTTAGTTATTCATCTACAAGCACCTAAGAGAAAACTGATGTCATTCTAAATCTTAAGCAACTATTAAAATTGTGTTACACTTCATTAGTATAAAGCTAACGAAGTTTATATGACTACTTAAGTCAACAGTGTTTTTTAAATACTTATTTTGATCAACGCGTTCGTCAATTCAACACCCAACACAAGTAATAGGAACGATGCAACACCTATCCCACAGATGTGAGACATTTTTACTTCCACTGAAAATGAAGAATACTAGCTGACAGAATTACAAAAATCAGATGTCAGAGGTTGTATGATTACTTAAATATGATTTTGAATAACGAACTGTGCTCGAAATGTCATCTAATAACTAAAATTGCATCACTGTGAGCTATATCAAATAAACAATCTAATATGAAATTATACTCTGTGACAGATTGCCTAAATTTTATACGTAATGCTAAATTAGTGTTGACAGTTTGTAGATAAGTTTATAACAGGCGTTTCGGTAGGTATTCAGTTTTGAACCATTAAAATAACTTTTATTCAGAACTTCATTTCACCAAAGAAAAAAAAGGAAAAAGGTTTTTTCTACATTAATGATCTTATGAACGGCGTTTCAAAGACATTAACACATACAACTGACTTATGAATTCATGCAAGTGAAGTTGTTACGGTCAAATCCACCAACCCTTAACTAAGCATTCTTTGACCTTCAGTACATGAAATAACATTTCCTCATCCCTGTGTTCCTCCCTAGTCTGCTCATTTATTTGACGGTATTTACCTATTCAGTGTGTCAGCACATTTGACAAACACAATTCATCCCAATGGTGAAAAATTAAAACTAAGCTTAAATTCCTAACTAAAATTATATCAGAGACATATTACGAAGCGAAATCTGGCCACGGATATGAACCTCTCCTTGACACAATATTTCCTCTATTGAAAGTAGGAAAACGTTACGCCTATTGACATAATCCAGGCAGTTATATAAAATGAAGAAAAAAAAGATATAAACGGAGTTTTCCTGTGGTTGCAGATGCACCTTGCTAGTGAGTTTTAACAAACACAAAACCAATATCCACACTTTCTCGCCGTTTGACTGCTGTTATCTAATATCAAGTTACAGTGTACAGTGCATCAAGCAATAGCAGCTACCATGGTGTGGTGGTTAAGATTCCAAATCACAAAAAGCCAATGAACTATGCTACCAGAGTAATTGTTACCTCGAGGTCCTACCAGGTCTGTCAGATAGTGGTAAGACAAAAAGCAGATGTCTTTAGAGTGTAAATGGCTACACTTTAGTGGAGGTCAAAGAGCGTAGTCTTATTCCCACCTGGAAAGGGGTATTACAGAAGAGAGGTGTTTCCCGAGGATGGTCAGCGGTACCATGCTGATGCTACCTTTGTTATGAGAAGGATAACTTTGAAAAGCTTGGCATCGATAAAAGCACTCTCATCTGCACCGAAGTACTTCAGTGCTGGTCGTATGGGCACATGGATTAGACGATGCAAATTACAATCTTAAGCTTCAGAAAAGACGACATGCGACCGGCCTCAAGCAGATGCTCTTTAGGCTCTGCAGTCACGCAACGATATTACCAGTCCAATTTCTCTTTCAAATACCTGAAGAAGGAAAGACGTTTCACGATTGGGAAGTATGAAAAACCTTCGCACCTCTGTCAGTACTCAAATTTCCCTCAGAATATCACTAACCTCCCTTCACTTTGTCTTCTAATGCTCCCATCAGTGGATTTCCGAATTAATGGATGCACATGATCGTATTCCTTCACCCTTGAAGTACAGTGAGAAGTGGAATCAAGTCAAATGCAGACTGAGTTCACTCTGTGACCATGACTGGTGGTAGACAGAGAACGTTAGAGAGAGATGGGAAAGGTCGCGACGATAGCTAATAGTAGACAGTTTTTAAGCCTGACCAAATAAACGGAGGCAAAAAGATCATTGCTTATCCAAACTGTGATGCAGAAAAATTAGTCTAAGATTCACCAACAAGAAAGTCGACTGAAATGATCGATAGAAGACCTCGAGGAAGAGTTTAACTGGTCTACGGCTGTTCTTCAGTTCCCCACTACCTAGTCTCATTCTCAGTGGGACGTTTAGCTAGCGCCTCCATCTCTTACATAAGTTGAGGAAGCTATTGATAACTTGAAATAAGGAAGCACAACATGCACCGATGGACCAACATCTGAGGTATATAGGGCTGGTGGTGGTTGACAATCATGGGTTAAACTAAAGATTCTAGGTTTCATGACCATCAGACATCTGAGTAAAGCTCAGGAAAAGCAATCCCGGGAAACCATAGCAGGTTTCAGATGTGTCCATGGGTGTTCCGATCAGATATTCACTGTCCACTAGGTTCCTGAATACAAACATCCTTGGTGGCCCACAACACTAGCTGTACTTGCTGACCTGAATATAGGACTTGTATTTGTTTATTGAGAGGCCTCATGGCATTGTCTCGCACCGAAAGAAATGTTTGGTCAGTAAATCACTCTCCACTTGAACATCTGTGAGCATGTTGCCGACTATGGTGAGTTGTCAGGAGAGTTGTGAATGTCGAGTGGTATGCACCAATAATATCCACTCTCTCTATATCCTTATTCAACTTTATCATAGATGTTCCCCTGGAGCTTTCCCTCTCGTCATCTAACTTCACAGGTATTGATCTAGTCACAGGAGAATCTTTGGTAGATCTAGAATACTTAGATAACATAGTCCTATCAGGTGAAAACCCTGACAAGATGCAGAGTCTTCTGGACACCTTCAGTGACAATTTGAGAATGTTTAGGATGCGTTTCTAATCACGTGAAAGGAAAATGTTGCTCCAGGAGTAATTTTCAGCGGTGCCCTGTCGAACAACAGGGAGCGGAGCGATCGAACTCACCGACCACTTCACTTACCTGGGGAGTTAGATATAAAAAGCTCACTTGGCTTTCGACAACTTACGCCATCTGTGGCACCACCATGATATTCAAGTGTCTATTAAGAGTTTGGTGTACTGTGCTACAGCTCATGTTCCAATATATAACTATGAAACAGTTATTGGAAGGAGAGAAAATAAGAAGGCTCCAGGTGTTCAATCACTGTTGCCCTTACAGTATAGACCGTATGTCTTGGTGTCACAACGTCAGTGACTTGGGAGCCAGTTTAACTGAAGTAGTCTCATTCCGGAAAATGATTGGAAGGTGATCAGTGTAAAACGCAGCATCACTGCATGAAGTCACTGACTGCTGATATGAGTCGCATAGGGAAATGTAGACTTCCCAGATGAAGTATGTGCGACAACCAAAACTTCTGATTGGAGACTGTAGGGGAGATAACTCAGAATCGATGTTACCTCTATACATTATCTTCATTCTCATGTTCATACCAAATTACAACAGTTTCATACCTCCTCCTCCTTGTTCTCTTTTCACGAACTTCTACAACTTTGACTACTTCCTTTTTAATTTCTCAATCCTTTATTTTGGTGACTTCTACCTTGATGTGTTGAGGTTTAGCGACATGGACCGTTGTGCAGTAATCCCAGGTTCCACATTGATTCGGACTGTACCGCAGTGTTGCGTCACTTAGTCTACTAATCACATTATGCATTTAGTCAACAAACCACAATTAACTGCCAAAACTTGATAACTCAGTTGGTTATATATATATATTATATGGCAAGCAATTTGTAAACGGTTAACAATGTAGTTACATAATATGTCCTAATCAGATGCCCACTTACTCTTGCTCAACTTCTTTGGTTGCCTCAGCTAAACGATGTTCAGAACAGGCAAGATTTGATTCCAAGTGATGATTATCACCAGGTGGTGATAGATTCAGCTTCAATAAATTTGACTTTTCATAGGCATTATCACAACGATTAATTGTGTCTCCACATGTTCCGCTGGAGGCCATAAATCGAGTCAACTGTTGACTCAGCGAATCCAGATCTGATCGAATTTGCGGAAGACGTTCTGCAACAGACTGTAATGACGACAATTGAGGATAACGGTAATAATAATGGTAATACTGTTAGATAACCAATGAAGTATGACAGAAGCGGTAGGTTGACTATTAACAGACATTTTATATATGCAAGAAAGTCACATTTTAGTGAAGCTAATTATGTAAATGATGATCTAAAGATTCAGTTGTACACAAGTGTTTCGAAATTACTCTGTGTCATGAACAGACAATTAAGTTCAATGATGAATTCATCTATTTAATAGTTTCTACGTCAAGACTTGTAAAATTTTCATTGTTATATGAAAATTTTTGCTACTAAATAACAGTATGTTAGCAAAACTACTGTGAATCTGTGGTATTCAAAAGGGATACAGGTATTCCCGAAAGTGTATCAAAGCAAACATCGCTTACAGTAATTCCAAAAGTGAACCGATGACTGTGAAGAAGAACCCTGTATTTTTGCAACTACACTTCAAGGAAGATGCTCTCAATGACATCCTATTACAACGCCTAGCCAGAGCAGTTAATGGAAAGTTCTACTTAGAACGTCTCCGCATATCTTTCGGCAAGTCCGCTAGTAGTCTACCTAGTCTTAGCTCTTCATCTTGCAGATATTAATTTAACTGGTCCTGTGGAACAAGTTACATAGGGCGTACGATTACGTAGGTGTGTCTTAAGACACCAAAACATTTACGACTTCGCGTGTACAAGGTCAAATGAAAGTGGTGAAAATTCCCATCTTGGTGCACCTATTAGTTACGGGGCATCACAGAGATGCTAACAGGGCCTTAAATACATACACCGCATATTAGGAATAATGCCACATGTAGTTTTCCAAAGCCTTTTCAACATATCTGAGGCTGCTGCGATGAGATTGATCAGACCTGAAGTTTACGCTCACGTGGAGCATGTTCAGGAGTCGGTACTCTCTTGGTTTTCAATAAACTAAAGGATACTCTCGTCTTCCTTATTTGTTGTCTTTTTTACCATAAAATTCTTTATTTGCACATATGTTATCCTGACAACGATAAATTCACACAAAAAAATCGACTTCCCTACAGTCCCTAACTTGCATTTCACTTTTAAAATGTATACACCTAAAACTTGGCTTTTTTTACGCTGTACAATTCTATTTTATAATTATATAACCAGAGGAGATATTATTCAGAAAAATATTTTTCCTGCATATTTGTAAAACAAATTATCATGAATATGTATGTGGTTGCTACAAAAAAAGCATGACAAAAATACACTAAAACTTACCTTTAAATCTCTATGAGCTCTTTCAACTACACAGATACGAAGACCATCTGCTGAACTATTTGGATCATTATTCAGATCATCGCTTTGCAGAAGACCGTGTACACGTACTGCACATCCTAATAAACATAGCTCACAATCTATCAGCATTTGATCAGTTTGTTCTAAACGAGCAATCCATGCATCTGCATCAGCTAAACGACAAGCAAATTCTTGACCTGTCAAAGCCAATTCACTAGCTGCTCTGTGTAAGGCAGAGAGACTTGTACTCAGTATTGTGTTTGATGATTCACTAGAACTCGTACCTTGTCCATCCGATTGACTTATATGCTGTTCTAATTCTGTGCATTGAGCGAGAACACGAGCTAAAGCATGAGACCATTTCTATGGTGGAACATTTTATTTTTAAAAATAAGTATAAGTTGAATTACTGTTACTGAAAGTGAGTGGAGAAAACTTAAAAAAACATTACCAATGTACACAAGGTAAGCGATCAATTATATATGGTCCTCGTAAATAATTTACCTTCAATGATAGTGTTTCATAGCTATATATATATATATACACAAAATCAGAGATGTGCTATTGTAGGAAACGACAAGACTGAGACGCAGGAAGGAATGTTTATTACTGACATCTTGTACAGTAGTGATGAAATATTGTACACTTTCCATGAAAACAGTCATTTGCACAATGTACTTCATTTTCTCTTCTGCTTCTATCTCGATTTGCTCTTAATACCCCCACATTATCTCTTACGTTCCTCTGATCAGAATCTTTACCCATTGCTGGTAATTGCCTATGATTTCTGCCACCCCTCAATATATAGTACTTACAGCCATTCTGATCAGCAGCGCCCACTACACTATCATCATTCGATCAAAGTGAGTTAGAGTATCAAGTCATCTGCTAAAGTATTTGGTTCAGCCATATAGTTCAGTGTACCGTTAGTCAGATATCAGAAGCAAAGTATTCAAGCGCATACATATTACATTTATAACACTCCAGTTAGTGAATAATCAATAAATGTAACTCAACGTGACAGACTTATGCACCAGGCTATGATTCACACTTATTGTATATAGGCTTATAATACTGAGCAACTACCCTAGCCAATGTAGACCTTGAACACATACGCCAAGGAGTCGGATTTTCACCATATTAAAGCTTTTCTTCTACATTAGTCAGAGGTTCCCAGTGAATATTTTTCAACCAGTTACAAAAAGGATTATGATTTAAGGGATTTTTATCTATCGAAATCATACTTTTCACTTCAACTGTTTAGCAGGATACATAGCTTTTTATCATTATTAAATATGTAACTAGATTTGAACTGAATCAGTATTGACGATAAATATAAAGGAAGATTCAATTATCTGAGAATGTCTAGATTGACGGACTCTTATTTCCAAATCGTATATCGATTTTTATGAGGGGAAATGTCCAGTGATCGAAATCAAAATGAAATCTAATCTCTTGTTGGTCGTTTTAACTCAGTACGGGGTACCAGATCCAAAGTTTGAACATTGCTGGTTTCCTCTGAAAATTATCTGCGCACTAGGAAAACAATGAACAGGTGGGTGGTTATTCAAAAAGGCATACTGGAGGTAATTTCTATAGTAATTTGTTTAGATAGCTAGTTTTACCTTTTAAAGTATGTAACGTAATGCAATGTAACACACTCAGCCACCTTGTGTATCTGTAATGTAAACAGTGACCAACACCCATTGTATGAGGGTTAATGAGATACTACCTGGACGCCCAAACCTCGGTAGGTGAGGTGGGGCTCGAAGCCGCGACCCAAGGTTTGATAGTCATCTCCCTAAACCAATGGGCCATAGCTCCATCTTTTAAGAGTATGGTTCATCATTGTGAACTATACTGTTGGGCAAGAACAGTACGATACTAAATAAAACCCAATGCCAGAAGACCTTTTATTCCAAACTATGAATAGCTATTCAGTTAGCATGGTTCCCTTAGGAAAATTAGTTTTCAATACATATATCATATATCATTACTGTAGAATAGTTAGTAATTCTATCATATGATTTATTTTAACTTTGATTTGAGATGTTGGCAATTAATCTGCGGGAAGGTTAGTTTGACGTACGTTACGAGCTTACTCGCCACCGTAAGCACGGTATATCTCAAAGCGTGAGGAGACGAGTGTTCCCTTGATGATTTGAGTCTGCGTCACTTGGTACCAAGGTCACAGCCTTAATCACTAGGTTATTTAGGTACTGAGAGACGTGAGTTCAAACCACCGAGGGAACACCTGTTTCCAGACATACTTTGCTGATGAGTGCAAACAAGCTAGAAACTGAGGTCAAACAGGACTTTCTGCCGATTGACTTCCAACACTTCACATTAAAATAAAGCACATTATAGCGTTGCGTGACTTTTTTTAGTGGCCACATTGCAAAACATGATCAGTTGACTTCGATAAGTGCTAGATATATCTACATCAATCAACCCACTGATAATCAATTCAATTACCCTAACTTACGTCTGAGTTTATCACCACTGCTAATCTAGAAGCTAGCAACTTTTAAACGTCTAACCTTATATGGATTTCAGTCTCATACATAAAAATCCTAGGAGCAACTACAATCATCATTTATTCAAAACTATTTAAATTCTTACTATTTATGGATATGCTTATAATTCTGTTATTTTACTGGATCGAATTGTTCGACCTCTATTGGCATATGGGATCCTATGCGGATGCCTCAATATTCCTGAACGTTAATTATGGTAGTTTACTTGGTTGTGGCTAGCAGAGGAATCCAGGACACGAGTTTCGTCAGCTGGATGTACTGCACTCCAGTGAGTAATATTGTTCTCAACGAGACTCAAACCTCGAACCACCGCTTCAAACCCCAGGACGTTATTCACTAGACCACGGAGGAACGATAGCCACCCCTTGTAAATTGGGTATTAGTTATTACTATTTACCATAATTAACACTCAGGTAGTATCGAGGCATCCGCATAGGAGACCATATGCCGATAGAGGTCGAAAAATTCGATTCGGTAAAACAACAGAGAATTACAAGCATATCCACAAACAGTAATAACTAGTACCCCTTGTATAAGAGGTGGCTATCGTGTCTCCGTGGCCTAGTGGATAACGTCTTGGCGTTTGAAGAGATAGATACAAAGCTCGAGTGTCAGTGGGAACAAAATGACTCACTAGGGTGCAGGTACATCCAGCTGACGAAACGCACGTCCTGGAGTCTTCTGCTAGCCACAACCAAGTAAATTACCATATTTCAATTTTTCTTTGAAAAAGCTTCTCAAAAGTATACTCATTTGGTCTGAGTAAACTTTCAAACGACAAAAACAGATAGAAAAATGTTATACAATAACTATTTGCTATTGCTCAACCATCATCCAAATAATTACTAAGTTTCAAGCAATTCAATTTCAGGTTGGTATTCATCATGGACTGACTGACTGGACAGCTGAAAGTCCTGCGTTCGATCCCCTGATGAGGTCATGAGTGCCCACTGATGAGGAGATCCATACTAGGATGAGACAGCTGTCCAGTGCTCCAAAATTTCCAATGTTTCTCCAACTGATGTCAGTCCATGATGAATACCAAATTGAAATCAATAAATAGTCCATACAAAACTTCAAATTGAATTCGGTTTCAGCTTACGCAAAATTTATTTCTATTTTAAATATAAAACAAATACAAACTACTAACCTTGTGTTCTTTAATCCGCACTTCCATGTCACATGATCTACCTGGTAGAGGAAGAGAGTTTGATTCTCTAAGACGCTCTGTTAAAGTGCTCAATATTGTTCTCAATTCATCAACAATTGCATACATTTCTGATAGTTGAATTTTTAAACAGCTGTTACCACTAACATCGTCCCCATTCATTGCTGGGACATTATATAACTGTTCAATACAACTATTTTGGAAAAGTATAAAGTTTTGTTTAAATTTATCCACTTCTGGAAGAGGTGTATTGACTAGTTGTAGTTCTAAACAATATCGTTCAGCATCATGGTAAATCACCTGAATACGAAACAACAACAAAAACAGTGGAAATGAGAGCAGAAAAATACATGAATTGTTTGATATGCTTTCGAAGAATTGAGTATTTCAAGTCACAAACTAATAACATCCTGGAATAGCAATCCATTCGAAGCCAAATAGTAGTTACAATCCTTCTTCATTTGAAACTGCTCAATCCTGCTCATTCAAAAAGGATATTCAAATCAGATGACGAGGTACTCAATGCTTTCATCTACATTTAATTCGCGATTCGAGTCGCGATAGCCACTTCTTGTGCGACGGGCATAGTTTTATATCAGCAATATCATATGGTACAAAACGGGTGCACAATTGTCACTGACAATAAATTTTAGCAATTTTACTAACCTCTGATACCCACTGCTATAAGGGCTGCAATTGCAAGCCATAGTTTTTGGAGTACGACCCAGAAAAACAGTCATTGGCTTAATGGGAAGGTGTTATATGTCGTGATCGCTGAGAGAGTACTTTTCGTTTTATCTTTGCTATATATGACAACATATCAAGGCAGACTTAAGTTGAAGGGGGAGGGGAGTTATTTCGCACATATACACCTCGACACACTTTAGTAATTGCAAGTTCAAAACCTGTTCAAATGTCAAGACTTCTAAATTCCAAGGAACAAGGTTGGTTTCACAGAAGATATTTCCAAATGACTAATGCTAAATACACATTTTAAACCTTATAGTTTATGCTAATCCTTTTATTTTAACAAGAAAGAAATTTCTTCATAAATTTCCAAAACATAACTGCATCAAATAACTAATATTGGAGAATTGTAATGAACATAAATCCATATCGCAGTAGGATGAGAAAAGACGTGTGTACATGTGTGTGTGTGTGTGTGTGACAGTTGAAACATTTTCAGCAATCCTATTTGTCGAAAGACAAAAGCTAACGCAAAATTATGTTTCGTGTGCAATACATGTGCTTATCATCGACACAAGAAAGAAATTTCTTCATAAATTTCCAAAACATAACTGCATTCAAATAACTAATATTGGAGAATTGTAATGAACATAAATACATATCGCAGTAGGATGAGAAAAGACACGTGTGTACATGTGTGTGTGTGTGACAGCTGAAACATTTTCAGCAATCCTATTTGTCGAAAGACAAAAGCTAACGCAAAATTATGTTTCGTGTGCAACACATGTGATTGTGCTGATCATTGACACAGTGGCAAACTGCTTTCGTCTTTTTTTGAAAGTTGTGAGTTGGCCTCAGTTACTACTTGTATAATAGTAATGATAATAATATTCATAACGCTGTCATCATCACTAAATGAAATGCCTACCTAGGATGATACATGTGAAAAAAATAGTAACCCATGTTAAGATAAACTGATCTTGAGAAAAAAGAAACTACATCTTCATATTTGAAATGAGTAGGTATAAGTAAGTGAAATTGCTTGGATAGTATCTGGTTGTGGGAAAAAGAGAAAGACTACCACAATCATACATTGAAAACAGTTGGTTAGATCATCTGCAAAAACCTTAGATGGAAGACGAACATTTCGAATTGTAGGACTGATATTGCCCGTGCATCCTAATGTCATGCTATCAAGAATTCCTTTGCATTATTCAAAGTGTTTCAAACCAGCTAGAATTAAATTAGTTGACCAGTCAAGATGGATCGAATAAATCAAGGAACCAGTTAGATATCAATCTGAGAGAAATCATCCTCATAAACATTCATGAAAGGTATGTCAAATTATCGAATCATCGTCAATCAGCGATTAGGATGATGTTTAAGCTGATACCAAAAGATGTAGCTAGAACGATCGCATACATCTACCATGATCTTCTAGTTTACTTTTGATGAAAAATCGAAATTCACTCAGTAACCATATGCACTTTCATGGATTTGGCAAAGAGCTACACCGAGTGTGCTGGGGTTAGCAATAAACCTGGCTACTCAGGCTTTGTCGGGTGGAGTGGGACTCAAACCCGTGACCTATCAGTTGGAAGTCAAGTATCTCGACCAATTAAACACCACTCATCTGTATTAGTCTGGTGTGTAGCGCATAACACCTCAGCGACCTTGTACAAGTTCGTGCGTAAGAGTATGTGTCACCATATTGTTAGATGGCTGTCTGTGTACCACAACACCTCTGGGTAGATCGCGGGTTGGGCTCTTGAAACAAGCCTTATAAGTCGGGTCCCAAGACATGTAAGCCACAGCTACAGTTATGCAGCCTATATGGTGAATAGATTGATATTATTTAAAATCTTTAAACTTAATAGTGTCATGTTTATCTATTCCGGTCGTTGAAATTAATCATTACCACAATAAAGTATTATCTATTCAGTTTCATTATGGAAAATGAGGTTTCCTATTGAATCAACGTTTGATTTTGCTGTCTTAGAAATAATACAACATAAATAGTGTACCACATTTGACATTTTCTGCAGAGACATGCATTGATATACTTCTTTATCAAAGGCTCTTTGCTCAGTACTTACACTTCAATAAAATTAATCACCTTAAAAAAAAGCTCTAAATTAGAGATTTTCGGCTTACAGCTGATATATATGAGTGATTTTCACTCACAAGTCTTTGCCGAAAGATTTTAAGCTTCTTTAACAGATTTGGACAATCATGAAAACCATAATCGATATAAATGGTGACCGTCAAGTAAAACTATTTCACAAGTGTACATTAGTATACAATTTTACTGACTGAAATCTTATTCTGTTACTACTCATTTAAGTAGGCATATTTAATTTGAAGATATAAATAAAGCTTTAGGAAACTGCATATCTTTTACGCTCAAAGAACTATCTAACACTAAGTATAACTAGCAAAAGGCAGTAGTGTGGTGAGTGAATTTTCTTCGTAGAACTTTTCTATACCAGTTTGTATAATCAATACGAAGAAAGTAACTTTTTTAAAACTCCTTTCAACTTTAATCTTCTGCCAAAACTCACTACCGACTAAAATAACTTTTTTAGGTGGAAATTATTTCACATACACATAACCACTATGGTTCAGCAGGTAGTATTTAAATACACACATACAGCTCTGAACGTGGTTAGCATAACTTCAACGGGAGGGTAAGGAGAAGAAAGAAAAACAGTAATCAATTTACACTATCCTCTATTTCGGACAATTATCCATCTAGCTTAGAGATGTCGATCACTTCATATAAGACTGAGAAGTACAACTATATTTAAGTTTAATCTAGAAAAGTTAGAGTAGATGATAGTATATTTCTATTCATAGGCACACCTAGTTTGTTGAAATACGTGATTTTTAAAGAAATTGGAGATAAATTTCACTTGCTGAATCCAGAAGTATTAAAAGCCAAAAAGAATGAATATCTATTTTATTGTGCTTCAAAGTACTTCAAAGCATGTCAGACAAACAAACGAAATCTACATAGAACTTCACAAACAAGTGTATGAGTTCACGGTAGCATACAAAGAACAAGTGGATAGAAAAGGAGTGATATGGAAATAGACAAAGTTGTGTGACAGAATAAACAATTTGAAGGTAAAGGTTGGTGCAGACATCCTAGCTTCAGAAGACAATAAGGAGTGAATAGATCTGCTCCACTGCGACCCACTTTTCAACCATGTCACCAAGAGTCCTCAAACACTGATTACTATCATCTCGGGACCCCAACCCAGCAGTCTACATCGCCCAACACGAATCAGATCAACAATAAAGGACTTCATCGACTGATGACACGTCTTGGTCTGGTAACTCTGAAACCGCTCCTAACCTAACACAACTTCCCCTAGCATGGCACGTCGAGGTAGGCAGTGGTTGGACTTAGGTTCAAAACCTCATGAAGCGACTTGGCTGTCTTGTCTAGTAGCCTTCACCTAACCTCAACATTGTTAACACGGTGATTTCATCGAGCGCGAGCAATACTATGAAGACATTTATGATCTAAACCCTGTAACCACTTCATGTCTTCTACTTTTAACGGCCATGTCTCGCAGGCGTATAACAGGACAGAACGGATTGCAGCACAGCATACTCATCCTTTGGTAGTTAGTCGGATATCTCTCCAGTTGGTGCCACAGGTGACGCAAGTTGGCCTTCTGTATCCGAACCGAGATTTCTTAGGAAACCAGCCCGTTCGAGATGATGCCACTTCCCATGTAAGTTAAGTGGTCGACACATTTCAAAGCTCCACTACCTATCATTAAACTAGGATTAGTTACAGCTGGTCAGTCCTGGAGCATCATCTTCATTTGGCAGATGCCAGAGAAATGTATATCAAACACTTAGATTTCTGCTCAACGCCTTCAAAATATCCTGAATTTTTTCATTGTCTGCACACACCAAGTCAATCAGATGACCTACAAGCAGTAGGTCAGTCCAGATGAAGTCAGACGTACCGAAGCTTGTCTCCATTAGTACCTTTCTAGTGAAACTAAACAAGAACAGTGACAGTGGGCATCCCTGGTGAACACCACTGCTTGTCGTCGAATCCGATGACAACTTTTCACAAGCCTTTACACGGCAGCGTGAGCACAAAACATGTACGAGCTCAGAACTGTCGGTTTACTTTTCTTAACCGGTCTGAATAACATGGTCCCGAGTAGAGTGAACCTTTCAATGCACGAAAACCAACGAAGGTGTACATCATAGATCTGAAAGACAACTGTTATTTATTTCTAAAATGGTAGCAATTAAGTGAATTCAGATGCTGAGTGTAATTTAAGGACCGATACTTTTATGACCTACTCAGTTATCATTAAAAAGGATTTTCAACCACTGGCAGTTGCTAATGGAACATAATCGGGTAAAACGTTTTTGTGAGAAATGAAATCGGTTAAGTAATAAATGATAAGTGATATGTAAATTATTCAGGTATAATATGTATCAAATAATTACGCTGAAACTGAAGAAATTGATAATCATAAAACGAGGAACTCTAATATCCCTCTTGGCCTCCCAAAAGAAACCGGTTTAACTTCACTTAAAATCGAGTAATAGACTTACAAAGTACAACAAAGACAAACAGAAACAAACAAATTAATCCCACCTTTCGTAGATCCATTTGTTGAGGAATATCATGTTGGACAGGATTTTCAATGAACTTGGACATTGCGATAGTTAACAAATGTCCACGTAACCGTAAATTTAGTTCAGACCAACATGTTTTAAAGTGCTGTAAAGTTGATACAATACATTTAGCTCTATCCATAGCTTCACTACAAGGCCAACAGGGTAAAAAGCATATCATCGGAACAGTTAACGTGGATCCATTAGCTGTACGAACCTTTTGAAAATAAAGCAGGTTCGGTTAGTTGAATAAGCAATAATTCCAGTAAAAAACGAAAATAAAACTAGTTTAAATCCGTACTTTCGCCATGAGAAACTGGTTAACACTTACTGTAAGAATATTTAGAGAATTTCTTTCAATAAACAGTCAAGGTAATTGAGCACAAGTTGCCTTATTAACTTTCTCAGCAAATGACATATTAGTGTGATCAGTGCCAATTACTAGGCTGATTCAAGGGCATCGAATGAAGCGAAACTCACGCTTCCTGTAGTATATTTAAACAAGAGAGTGAAGCTTGAAAGAAATGAAAAGATTAGCGACGCCCGTAAAGTGTTAAAATAACACAAGTATAAGGTTTAAAAATCGAATCAAACTAATAACAGTATGTTGCTCAGAATACATGATGTTTATCGTCAACCTCATACTCATCCTTTCATAGGGGGAGGGGAGGGTAGAGGAAGAGCATTATTACTTCAAATTGCGGACAATCAGGGGGTTTCCTTAAATTTGTAGATAAAGAATTAACAATATTGAAGAGCCTGAAGTATTCCTAAGTCGGATATTACATACATTATGCAACTAAAATCCAAAGCAGGTGGGTTTCACTAACATTGACAACAAAATGATAAATCATGTTAATGATGGATAGTGGCTAGCAGTAGAATCCAGGGTGCGCGTTTCCTTCCATTTAGGACTCGTCAGCTGGATGTAGATGCCTCCCACAGGGACTCGAACTAGGGACCGACCGCTTCCAGTGCTAGAGCGTTATCCACCAGACCACCGAGCCACAAGCAACAACACTAAAATGGTAAATCATCTACGAACAAATTAAAGGTATCGGATCATCTATCTGAATAATGTCCCATTAGTCATCATTAAAAAATATAATGGTTTCCAACCTCTTCTTGTTCATCTTTGCTTCAAACTTTCTAAATCTTCCACCTCTGCAGCCAATACTAAGAATTCGAGTCTATGCTCAGTAGACAACAAAATAAGAAACTGTTTTCAATCGTAGAATACTGTTAAGCTGGGGTCTACAAACTAAACCAGTGAAGGAAATGATGGCCTACTTTGTATCTAGCATAGTAGTATTCGCAATGTGTTGTGACTTCGCTAATTATTCCCCTATGTTTTCCATTAATAATAGTACTTAGCCATTTTTTACGTTTGCCTCTCATAGCCTGCTTTGTTTAGTCCACATATTCATCATTATTATTCACCCTTATTTCTTCAATAACTGTTCTACTCACGATGATGGAATGTAACTTTAACCCACATAATCCTCACTCTTTATTTTCATACTCCTTTTAAACTGTTTTCGGTATCTGCTTTACTCGTCAAGAAATATTTTCATCTCTGTGTTGCTACGCTTTATTCATTGTCTTAGTTAGTAGTATTTTCGTAATGATACTTGTAATTTGCCGTTGCTATACAGGGTTGAATGTCTCAACCTCTATCGGTAGATGGTCTCCTATGCGGATACCTCGATACTGTCGCATATTCATTATGTTATATTGATATTGGAGACTAGCAGAGGAATCCAGAACACACATTTCGTCCTATCCGGGACTCGTTAGCTGGATGTACCTGCATCCCAGTGAGTGATGTGTTCCCAGTGGGGCTTGGACTCAGTACCCTTCGCTTTAAATGCCAAAGCGCTATCCACTAAGCCACTGGGACACAATACTCACGTCTTCTGCAACCTGTATAGCAAGGTGACTTAAATTGAAGTGATAACTCAGTCGTAAACTAGTCAACAATGAGGTTTGAACTTCTTTCCATTTATCGAGATTTGGACAACCAGATAATATCAGTAACTCTAGTATAAATGGAAGAGCTTATTGTTTCAGTAGTTTAATCTGTAAGTAATCGGTTGGTTACACTTTTGTATCAATTTCATGCAATTCGAGTTGCTCAAGGGAACAACAATTTTAAATTCGAAAGTGAAATGAATGATACAAAACAATCAATTTAGGATAATATAAGATATGTTCAAAGAGAACGACCCTTAATCTGATATTTTAGGTAGGTAATTGCCAGGAAAAGATTGACTATACTTTAATGGCTAAATAAAGTTTTGATGATAAAACTGATTGATTGCTGATAGAATAGTTTTTAGGCAGACAACTAAATATAGATTGGGACAAAACAGATGTTAGAGATTCATCAAATGAAAATACAGATATTATTGTCATGATTTAAAAAATATGAGATACTCAAGCTTACTTGAAGTCTATGAGCTTCGGGATTCTCCAATATTGTAAGAAAATCGCCTTTATCAAAACAGCCTGTACTATCACCGACTGGCCAGAATATAGGCTCGATAATACTACTAGTGTTTACAATTGACATGTTACATGTATTGACAGAATTGATCAATGATAAATCACCGGAATAGCGTTGATGACTATCAATAAAATAATCTTTAGGTTGGAATGAACAAAGGACACGTGTACGACGACCTATTATAGCTGATGTATTTTCTTCTTGTGAATTCAAGTTATCAGGAATTGGTGGAACAATTTCTTGACTTAAGTCAACTAATTGGAATATAAATGTTTCTTGACCAATCACTCGAGTATACAGTTCCTTTGAAATGTATCGAAAAAAGGAAACATTTAAAGTCAATTTGGGAAAATATATGAAGGACTGCAGTAAAGTAACTAAGCATGTTCTCTTTTCAGGAAAATGAAGAAATCAATGATGATGGCTGGTGACTATCAAAGTAAATATATTGGGAATATCTAGGCATCCCTACACAAGAGCACAGATGATAGTAGTGGCCGATCAGTTCGGTTCAATCAACGACGAGAAATTACAAGTTATAATATCTAAAAGAAGAAATCCTTGGAAAGCTAATTTCTGTATTTTGGGAGAGAAGTGTTTAACAAAGCAAAGAATTTTGTATTCAAAACGAAGATGCAGAGCAACAGGATGAAAACAACAACAAAAGAGATATACACCAGTTCCCAAAACAATCACTGAAATAATCAGGTTAGTGATATCAGAAGGTTCCGTAGACAGTTAATCAACTTCAAATAGCGAGTTAATATAACGGTAAATGATGTAGATAGCATAAATTTGTGTGGTGAACCTTCAAACGATTTTCACATACTTTCTGAATAACTATTACGCGATACTTCTTTATATATACACAGTAAAGAACAGTACACTAACTATTTCATGTTCTTGACCAATAGTACCATACAGGGTAATTCAGTTAACTTTAGCTAGCTGGCCTGCACCACTTAAATGTATACAAGCCATCGGCATAAAACTATAAAATCTAAAACCAACATTACTCAGCTAATATTTATGTTAGCAGTTGCATTATTCCGTTGTTGACAGGGTCGAATTGATCAGTCGAAATTGGGATATGGGCCCCTGCACGGGTGCCTAGATATTGCCTGGGTTTCTGTTTCATATTAATGATGGATAGTGACTGGATGGACTAGTGGAAAATGCTCCGGTGTTTGAAGCGACCGCTTCCCGTTTCGAGTCTTAGTGGGAACAACATTGCTCACTGGGGTGCAGGCATATCCAGCTAAGGAGTCCCAAACAGAACGAAACGCGCCTCCTGGATTCCACTGCTAGCCACTATGAAACTTGATCCTTTAACTTTATAAGCTGACATACACAAGTCGACAAAGTTGTTCAATACATATACCCATAGTTTGATAACTTGATGCTGTTGACAAAAAGCCAACTATAACTTGGGTAAAAAGAAATGCATCACGAAGAATACTATGATAGAATTAAATATACATAAAAGTGACATACAGACAAGGAATGAAGAAACGAAGTCAAAGGATAATCACGTGATCAAAGAAGCAGTAGCGAAAATACTATCAAAGTGTTCATTACTTTCTTTGTACTCTTTAATAACAGAAGAAACAAGAAGACTACAGTGTGATCACGACCGGTTTTCACTATGAGCCATAGTTAGTGTTGTAGAGAGTCATTGAGGCATATAATCTCTCACATCCTATATTCGGAATCGTGGTGCACTAACATAAGTTAACTCAGCAAAACTACCCATCTTACTCGTGTTAAGCCATGTACTGATCACCTTTCAGTTTTTATCATTCAATCACAAATTGAAGAAAAGGAATGGGACGACATTCGTAACACGTCTCAGAAACGGAAGTCCGTATTCGAAGACAACCTATCTCAGTGAGCTATGATTTTCGACATGCAGGGACATACAATGCCACAAGTCAGAATTACTTACATGGTGTTTCTATCGCATGCTAGCGACCCCACTGGAACAATAGCAGTTGAACAGAGAGAGTTGTCAATACCTTCAAATTTTTATAGGTGTAGAGCGAAACTACCCATACTAAAACATTGTACACTTGATGTTTTAAACTCAAGATAATGTAGTAACAGCAACAAAGGTAACCCAGATTGGCGTGTATCGCCCTGACAGTCCATAAACAGTTAGAAATCTCACCAGTTACACCTCCACCAGCACGTACACAACTATCTAGATATACAAACTTCTCAACTATTTCAAATGGTGTACTATTAAATATGTTGATGTTGATGTTAATCTTTTGAAAGTATTTTGCACTTCGACAGTGCACAGTACATATCACATATATCATAAAGTGATTATTTGTAACTTGAATAGTGGGTATATTATCGCATAGTAAGACGATACTGTCTCATAGCGAATTCTATGAGGCATCATCCCTAACCTCCTTAAAAATGTTGCAAAAAAGTTATTAGTCAAAATGTCAAGGAGGAAGAGTCCTACCTACGCTTACAGACGGCTTCAAATAATCGCGAGGAGTGAAAAGTCCTAACTTTACTTGAGGTGTTTTCGTATAAAGCTTTAAAGATGCGCTCGAACTCAGTGACATTCTTCTAAAAGCGATTATAACAGGGGTCAGCTCTGTTCAACGAAACGAAGACAGTATTAATAGCAAAAAGCAAAGAGTTATTAAACTGCAATACGCGTGGCATTGTTCCAGTTAGTGATGGAGAGTTACAGAATGATGAAAGCATCCTTAAAAAACACAAAACCCAGCATACTCTTTTTGGATCATCTTTTCACGCTTTGTGATATATATTAGCAATCGTAAGCAGGCTAACACACCGTAATGATTGCGACACGCGTTAACTAGGTCCGTTTTAAGGCTAAGAACAATATTAAGTCTAACTAATTTACTTACGTCGACATATTTAGAATGTCAATTTTAATGACCATCTGCAATCAAGATAAATGTTGCACTCAGCCATGTATCAAAGTCCGAATAGGTATCCCAAAGAAAATGAAAATCCTAAATACACCCACACAATCAGAAGCCAGTTACACCACGGATCTACTCAAGTTCATGTTTGAGTAACAGAGAGTGGACTTCATGTGACACAGCAGTGATCACTGTGCTACAGTTTGATGCTGGTTAACAACAGGTAGTGTGGCACACAAAGTTGTAGAAAATGAGTCCCATTATCTGACTTGAAAGGTCTCTTTAGTCCTATACGCCTGAGCAGTGAAGTGAAACCTCCGGCCAGAACCATGATATATAACGGAAAAACTTGATTGAGGTCACTCAGTTCAATGTGGACCACATACTTAACTGCATCCAGACTGTAATTAGTTGGGGCGCAGACAAAGAAGACGACGATATATCGTTTCCTTTGGCAGTTACTTCTTACTCCAACTGAAACTTTCTAGCTAACAATAAACAGACGACTGGGAATAGGGATCAAACTGACCAATTCAGTTACTGTAAGAGCACTTAGTGGGAGACACTAGCAGCAGTAAGGATTCCAAGGTCACAAGGTATCCGGATCTGGACACACTTTTCAGAATGACAGATAGTGATGTTCGAATAATCTTATGGTTACAGAACACATCAATGGCGAGTATTTTTAGGGTCTAGCCAAACCTGTCAGTCATCCAACCTGGGTCAAGGTTCACAGGTTGAAGACAGGTTTAAAACGACACGTGTAGTTTCAAGATAGGCATGTCAGATATCACACTCAAGGATAGCTTTGAGAAAGAAAGTATTTAGCAAGTCAAAATAGTAAAAACCGATCAGAATTTCAATTAATGATGAGAAGCTGAGTGAAAAAAAGTTACACATAAAGATGAATTTGAAAATGATAACGAAAAAATATCGTTATATATGCAGAAATAACAACAATAACGTGATGACAGCAAACTGATTAATTAGGCATAAACGTTCATGATAAGTTCGGTAGCTTGAGAAGAAGACTCATACTCCTAGAGAAAGAGCTGAACTTTTCAAAACATCGATAGCTCAGAAAAATAATCGCAAGAAAGCTACTAATTTCCAAAGCACAATCGTCTTACTATATATTTAACCAGAAATACGCTACTACACATACGAAGGAGTGAAAACTATTTCAGCATAGAGTAGCTCATAGATTTATTCATAAAACATGAGTAAATCATAACAAATTACCAGTTCTCAGTCTGAATGGAGATATAATAAACTGTATGGAAGATATAGATTTATCTAACTGACGTGATCTTAAAGGGAATGAAACATGAACCTCAGATCCTGTGAATGCCCAAAATAAAAAGCTTGAAAATTCCTTTGTATTTGAGCAGAAAAATAAAATATGCTCATTGTTTTACAGTTCAAACCGTGACAATTCAACAACTTTCTGCATAAATGTACAACTCAAAATAAACCATATCTAGCAAATCAGTTATGCATGGAACGAACGAAGTTTGGGCATTATTTCTGATGAAGATGAGATCAACTTAGCAACAGCTTTTTTTCTTGCACTTACTTGTAGTTGTTTTAAAAGAGTTTCACCTTGTTCAGCTGTTGTTGCCTTCAGAGTTGATTCATAGTGTGAACGTAATTCTTCTAGGGCTGTGGTCAATAGTAGTTCACATTGTTTGACATCATTGAAAAAGCTTTGGAAACGAGTTCCTTGTTCTATATGTGCTTCGAAGCAGTAAGTCAATTGTAGTAACCAAGCCCAATGACGTTCTAAGGCGTTCAGATAAGTCTAGGATGAATAAAATTTTTAGAAAAACAACAATTAAAAATGAGTACGATAAATGTATGTATCCATAAATTATACAGGAGAAGAAGAGATATTCGTTCAATTAAAGAATCTCTTGGCATTCTTCTCTTTGCTTTGTATCCCAAGATATTGCTGCAGGTAATTAGAAAGCCAATAGTATCAGGACAGATGACATCTAACTTTCGACAGCATTCACTCTATGGTTAGCAACTTTGACCATTCAGTAAGTCGTCTCCTAGGACAAACCTTGTTTACATCACGGATGGATGGAACGTAGACCACAAAGCTGAACGAAACATCGGCTGTTCCATAAGCTCTTAGTAATATCAGTTAACTAGACCAGCTGAACTAGCTAACACTTAGATCTGTGTCATTTCTCCAATGCACTAAGCCTAGAAAATGTGAAACAATAAACTATTTGAATAACTTTTGATTTGGTCGCAGTAACTAACGGATAATTGGTGATAATGACGATTAGGTCAACATTATTTGCACTCAACTTCCTTATACCTAATCTTGATTTTCTCCTTCCAACCTATAACATAAGCATAATAATGTTTTATGGGTTATGAGTGCATACTGCTGAGGAAATCCATAGTAGGACGAGAAAGCTGTCCAATGCTCGCAGATTTCCAGTAGTTCTCCAATTGATTTCAGTCTATGATGAATACCAGATTAGAATCAATAAATCTCAGCGAACCTCCAAACCGAACGTTTTATTTGTTTATTTTATAGCAAACAAAGAATACTAGAAATCTGAGATAAACGACTTAGTATTAATGTCGAAACAGCCTTCTTCAAGTTTATACAAGAAAGCTCATGAAACAGCTAGTACAGTGTGCTTGATCAAGTGATACTCAGTAGAACGAGTGAAACAGCGAACAACAAACCAGTAACATACGCACACATGCTTTTCGATGACTAGTGTGACAATTGGAATTTATGTTGACTAATCATAACAATTCTGTCTGAAAAACAAACCAGCTAACCAATGACCTACATACAGTAACCATGCTTTGTATGTACTAAGTGATGATATATATATTTGATTTTCAACAGAAATTCAAATATTTTACTCAAAAAAACTATGGCCTACTGCAAAACAGTCAGAAAAATCTTGTTTTGATTCTTTAAACAAGCTGGGATTGTATTGAAGCTTATTTTTTTACATTGATTAAATCAAACTCAGCGCACAAATTCATTCAGGACAGTTGCAACAACTATGGAATGATTATTTTATAACTCAATCTTCATTGGAATAAATCCATTTAAGGATATCAGAAAATATTAAGTTACCCAATTTGTTTTCATTGAGTTTAATGAGTCAACAACATCCTTTATAGTTTCGATTTCCTTTATAGAGTGAGATTCATTTCACGACACATATATAAGTAAATTTGAAAGAAAGAGTAGATGGTACTAGTCAATTACTCACTTGTACAAGATCAGTTACAGAGTAATTCTCTAACTGAATAGATGAACCCAATACGCTGAGTTCATTGTAGACAACTTCTTTCTCATGAATCTCATGCATAAGTTTCTAAAATGAAAATAGACAATACAATAATAAAGCAGGTGAAATGATTTGTTAGCAATAAAACTGATTCACTAATGTAAATGTTCTTTCAGTACTTGCAAAAGTAGAAATACAACAATAATGATGTGCCGATAGCTATCCCTTACAGTGAGTGATCCAGATATATACTTAGCTATACTGTTTGAAGAAAGGAAAATAAGAATCCTATTAATGTGAAGCTCACCCCCAAGAACGTTTCAATGATGCCTCACTCATTCACGTGGATTACGGTATGCCATGGATATATAATTGAGGCGTAATTCGGACAAGAAAAACACAAGGAGTGACGAGTACCAACCGTTTTCTCTTATATTTAAATTGACGGAGGGTTGGGTGGGAACAGTGTGAAGACTGATATAAGAGGCGTTGCAATTATCTAGGAAATTATTCAAGTGCACTATCAGAGTTATAGGCTAATTAGGAAGTCACATGATCAGAAGTGTAACAGATTGAAGTAAAAAAAAACTGGGGGTTGTTCAGATTCGACTGAATATTGACTGCCTCAAGTGACCAACCGAATGAATATCAAAAGACAGATGTACTAGCTATCAGTCTACCTTTTTTGCATTTAGCAGAGAGTGGACATCAAGTCAAATTGAGTCAGATCTTTTCTGTGATATTTCGCGTCCCCTTCAAACCAAGTATGCGTTTCTCAACTATAGCAGAAGCTGTGGGAATCAACAGGAGAAAGAAATATGTACATCCACTTTGTCCATCATGGACCACAACAAGGTCAATGTTTATGAAAATTATCATTATTTCACATTCTAACTTCCCATCCCATCCAATTCTTCTACTTGTCTCCCTCATCCTATCGATAAACATTTATTTTCAAATGTTATTACTTTTATGACCTTGTTTTGTTGACTAAAACTGTATACCAGTAGTTATTTCTAACCTTTACGTAACACTACACATTTGTTTGTTGTATTCATATAATTTTCTGCCCTGTATAAACCATAGCTACATAAAGATAATTTGCTCTTCAGTTAACAAACACATTCAGTTTCACAGGTAGATGATGTATATGCATACATGAACTATTATCGCTTGATTTTGCCTCCTTATATCGTAACTGTTTTGCTCATATTGCCTCATTTCACAAGTTAGATTAGATTGATTATTATTCCACCTCCAATTTGATTTGACCTTCATTTGTCCATAACACTCAGTCTCAATATTGAAAATAGTTTTACTATATGCATTCGACTGGATATTTTACCTCACCAATCTTCATGGAGAGTGTGAAGACGAAGTTATTAAAAACAATGATTATTGTTCTGAATAAATTATGAGGATCTTTAAATTCCACACTACTTAACAACAATTAAAATCACATAACAAATGAATAGGTAAAAAAAGAGCAATATTTAAATAACCACTATTTATTAAAACTTGTTGTTGCTGTTGTTATAGTGGAAACAAAACGATCGACCACTGTTGGCATAAGAACTCTTGTGCATATATAAACAGTGTAGGTGAGATTACAATTTTGTACACTCACAGAAAGGATTTTTTTTCGAGAAGAATCTCAGTCTTAGTCAACGTAAACAGTGAGGAATTTATGTAACAAAGAGATTACACAGTATTCAAAGTCTGTGATTACTTTTTAGATGTGTACTTCTGATAGCACGGTTTGCACTTCAACCACCTCCGTTTTGCTTAAGTGATAAATTCAGACTTTCAGTAACAGTACACATTGATAAAAACAATCTGTACTATTGGCTTATGTCCAATATGCATTATAGATGAAAATGAAGTGTAGTCGTAGTTCTGAAATCCCTTGTTCAATGACGATGTACAGTAATGTTGAAAATGTAAACGAAAAAACCCTTATTGTTTTTCACCCGTGATTATATACAGAGGTAAATCATTCTCCGTGTATCTCAAGTGTTCTAGACTTCTACAACTGCCACTGTCCAACTACCGAAGTACGCGGTCGAAGACAAAGATTTTTTCAAAAGTTATAAATAATTTGGACTTCACAGTCAGAGATGAAAATTATTGAATTTATAGTCGAACTATCTGAGGATCTTCACAAAAGTTGTAATAAAGAAAGTAAGATTTACTATAAAACCATTAACCATCGATTTTAGTTCCCAAGCGGTCCCTCAAATAGCATATCTACAGATCAGTATGCGAATCAGATTAACAGTTAAGAAACGAGCGTTATGCCTTAATCAGCTTAAGGTCTATTCATTCCAGTTCCTCACTCTCACTTACAATAAGCGTTGTAGTAGACATTTACACGCATTAACTCAACTATTTCAGTTGACGAGTGTTCTCAACCTTGTCATTCAGTTTACCACTACGATAGCAGGGAAGGTTTTTTAGCTCAGGGTGATGATGACTGTTTCGTGTTCTGTAGGTTTCGATGTTTGCTCTTGGACGTTTGATCATCAGCCTAGGTGACTCCATAAATAATAATAATAACAATAATGATAGTTGCTTCATCCCAAACAGTGTGTCTGATACAGTATGGAATTCTTAACAGATAGTATTTCAAAAGACTAATTCTCAGTACAATATTTTTAAATGGAATAATTATAGTATCTAAATGATGTAAATAACAGTATTAAATTATTATTTCGACTATCTGAGACAGCCGTAGTTTGACAGACCTGTATTACAGATACTGGGTGATGCTTCAAGATGAAATAGAAATTTGGGCCATGGCGGGATTCCAACCAGCGACCACCGGCTCGATGCCCTACCTTCAGTCATCACCCAGTATCGATACTATTCTTCCAAATCAGATAGCCAAAATGATAATCAATATGTTGCTCCTCCTCTCTAGTCCAAGTAGATTTCGATTAGTATGAGGAACCTAGATCGGGAAACCAGTCTGAGTAAGATCAAGCGGCAGTAAAGCGTCACCAATTCACATGGTAGTCAGGCAAAACTGTTGTGACCGGGTGGTGGGGTTGCGCGCGTGTGTATAATGAATGCTGGGACTCAATAGACACCTGGACTGAATACCTTTACGACTGACCTCCCTCAGTACCTTCTGCTTCACTTAGCCGCGGTAAAATCAGAAGAAAAAGACAGCCTGTGACTGCAAGAACAGCGACAACAACTCTTACTAGACAAATACATGACAAATATGTATTTACAAAACTCTCAGAAAGTGAAGCCATAAACGAACCAATCAGATTTCTTGTACGAGGTCAAATTCCTGCAATCAGGTTCCCATATCAGCGCATGCATAAATCATGACTTAAACATGATCTGATCACGACTTGAAAACTCCCCTATTGGCTACCTTCTTGTCGCTACGTCACAAAAACCCTGACGATTAAAGTGAAATAATAATCTGGTCAGCAGTCGGGTCTCCCAGCTCAGTTAATATAGCACCGGGTCGCTGGTTCAAATACCGCCGTGACAATAATTTCCTTTTACCTTCAGTCATCACCCACTATCAGCAGTATTAAAAGCCATAGTGTGAAACTGCAAGCTGTTTTTATGTTATTCTCTAGTTTAAAAGGGCCGATGAATAGAAAGGCGTGTGAAAATTTGATCGTGGTGATTCATTCAGCCATTACAAAAATCTGCCATTCGAGCCAAGTAACCAAGGTATAGTAAAATAATCTTTGTGCATTTAACACTCCATTTCCATCTACCACAGTCTTTTTCTCTTTCTTTTGTTGCCAACTTGAAAAACGGCAGACTGAAAACTTTTTTAAATAAGCAAGAGCACACGACACGTTTAACCTCTCCTGGCTAACTAGTTTACTAGTTACTAGCCGGTCCTAAGCCCGGGTAAACAGGGAAGGTTGGGCATACGGCTAGCAACCCTACCCAGTAAAACAAATCTAACCACTAAAGAAACTTCAAAGCACAAACAAAATATAAAAAATGAAAACAAACTTATTCCCCGCTGGAATCGGAGAGGCGAAATGACTCCAGTTGGTGAAAACCTTCGGGAAGCCAATTGGCCGATGTGTCTTCTTTCTCTCGATGAAAGCGAAAGTAAACGTGGGGACATGGAATGTCCGCACCATGTTTGAACCCAGTAAGGCAGCCCAGATTGCAAATGAGATGAGAAGGTATAACATCGAAGTGCTTGGGATTTGCGAAAGCAGATGGAAAGGGAGTGGACTCTCCAAACTGTCAACTGGAGAATCAATAATCTACTCCGATATTGTCACCCAGACGACACGACAACCACGAGCACAATGAGTTATGGAGTGGCTATCATGATGTCCCCAACAGCATCGAAGGCTCTCATGCAGTGGGAACCAATCTCCTCCAGCATCAGGATCATGACAGCAAGATTCAACTCAAAAGGAAGGAAGGAAGGTCACAATCATACAATGCTATGCACCGATGAATGATGCAGAGCAAGAGAAAAAGGAGGAATTCTACAAACAACTTCAATCAACACTGGACAAGACGTCAGTTGGCGATATCAAAATTCTAATGGGTGGTGTGACATGAATGCCAAACTGGGAGGGGACAACACAGGAAGAGAACTAACCATGGGTCGAGAAGCGCTCGGTGAGGTGATGAACGAGAATGGAGAATTGTTTGCAGAATTCTGCGCATTCAACGATTTGGTGATTGGAGGCAGTGTGTTCAGGCACAAGGATATCCACAAAGCGACATGGATTTCACCAGACACCAGGACACACTAAAAATCAAATCGACTTTATCTCAATCTCAAGAAAATGGAGACGCAGTCTACTTAACACAAGGTCAAGAAGAGGAGCTGATGTAGGTTCAGACCACTATCTAGTGCAAGGAACCTTCCAAATCAAGTTAAAAGCCTTCAAGGAAGCTGGTGATAGACCTCAACTCAAGTACAACACTCGGAAACTGAAGGATGAAACTACAAAGGAGATCTTCAAGGCAGCCATCAAGACAAAATGGGAGACATCGAGCAACATCCATGAAGAAACCTGTGTGGAAGAACACTGGAAGTCTTTGAAAGCTATGTGGAAAGAAACCTGCACAGCCGTATTAGG